GGAAAGAGCAAAGAAATCTTATCGTTATGGAAAGATATGGAGAATGGTGAAAAAATTGTCTACGAGAATTTACGCGAGAGCGGCACACTTTCTACGTTCACACCCTTATAAGCTTCGATTTCATTTTCATCGGGTTAGTTTACGCGAAGAATACAGGTAATTTAGCAAATAAAGCGGTGCAAAAGGCGATGAGGGAAAAATGCGGTTGCTCGAGTACGTGAAAGCGTTGATCCTTTTTTTCCAAGGGTTCTCGTTCTACTTTGCATTCAGAAAAATAGGCCACGCGTCCTTTCACGGCCATGTTTTTTCTTTTTCTTCTCTTTTTTCTTTCTTTAAGTAACCTTAATTGCGCCAAGGAGGCCGTGCGATTACGAGCGAGAGGGCGAAGGGAGCAAATGAAAGCGCGGCAAGGGGTGAAAGAAGAGCGATTCAGCGGTCGCGTGAGCGGATAACTTACAGATATCGGGTGAGATCTTCGACGTCGACGAGCATCGAATCTTGTTCCATGTGCAAATCGTCCCTTCTCAAAAGTCCCTCGACGAGCGCCTCGTTCAGAGCGGCGATTCTCGCGTGCAAGTCGTTCGCGACCACTTGAAGCTGCGCGACATTAAGCTCCGTTAAAAGTACTCGAGACAATCTGCGCCTATCCTCGCCCAGCTGAACCCCAACCTGTCGATGATAATGGAAAATGTCGATTTTCCGCTGCTTTTAATCACCTAATATTATTTTACGAATAATATTACCGAGTAAAATTATCCAATTACAACTTCGTCGTCGATTTTCACGGTTTTCACGACGTACATATATGTATATCTCGTAAAGGGCGTTACTTCGAGCAATTTTTTCCTTTAAAAAAATTCGCAATTCACCCTAATTTTCGAGATACCAGCAAAAGAAGATTGCTACTGATACCAGCAAAATTTTTACTTGATTCTCTTGATAAATTGAAATTCGATTCTGTGAGATTGCGAACAGTGAGAGATGCTAACAAAGGAAACAGTATTAAAAATGATAGCAGGGCAAATGGGTGTGCGGTCTTACTTCTAAATTGAATGCATGAGAACGCTCGGGGTCCTTTTCAAAAATAGGATGCGGACGAAAGAACAAACAATATCGCGAAAGAATCATTTTGACATCATATCTATGACTGTATCGAGTGATCGAGAGAGAAAGTGTATGAAAAGAGAGGGTTTTGACTTTAAGTAAGGGTACAAAGGCAGAACATGTGTAGTCGAGACGCAGTGAATAGAGGATCGTGTGTTTGAGAGTTAGAATTGAGAGGAACTTAGTGCAATATTTTAGTTAAATACATCTGTTTTGTTATTAAAAAGGATTAAAGGATCTGCATAGGATTAAGTTAGCAAAAATCCTACAATACCGATCTTTTCTCATGCGTTAAGGGGTCATGCTCAGTCGAGTATGAGTTTGATTTTTGTAGCCTAAAAACTTTTACTTTGAACCTCTGTCATATTGCGAAATACCAGTATCTGGAAAAATCCTTTGTTCAAGGATAAGTATATTAGAAATAATATATATTAGAAATAATATCGCGAATATTAGTCGTCGTTCGGATTCGTTCTTTCTTGGCTTTGAGAGTGTAGTCTGTGTAGTTTGTTCATTTGCATCGCGAAGTTTAGAGAATTCAGTGCATGGTATGAATAGAGATTAGAAGAGGTCGTTTAGTGGAGAATTAACTCGAAGATTATTTAGCTGGAACTGGAGAATTATCGGACTGTTAAGAGGTTACGAGTTCGCACTGAAGTAGGGTGAAAATTGTTACGTGACCTCTGGGAATCCAAAGAGATTATTACAGCCTTGGAGTTAGATATCAAGGTGCTTCGTTCGTTGATTTAAAGGCTTTAAGTTAAGAAGCTGTTAAAAATAGAACTGTTCACTTTGCTTTTCCTTTATGGGTACCTATCTTCTCTGAAGCCGAGGAATATCGTTGTTCCCTTAATGAAGGTTTTATCTCTAACCATTTATCACAGCGATGCGAATAACACGTGTGTCAGACATACATAGACGCGTTGATATATCTGTACTTCTTAATTTTCAATTATTTATACCGAATTATTATACTATTCCATCGTTATCGGACAATAGTCTGTTTATCCCAATTATTAATTTCCAATTTTTAGCTCGCAACAAGGAACTTTCGTTCGTTAGATTTTTCTTCATTTTTTCCCATAGCTAAGAGAAAGTTCTGGTTCAATAGGAGGGTGAACGCGATACTGACAGAAGATAGGAATCGTCATCGTTCGAAATACGCGTTAGCTATAGAAACTCACCTTTTCGAGGCTGGATCGCACCATCTCAGTGATGGGACTCTGTTTCAGCCTTTGTCTCTCAACCTCCATCTGCATGTGCGCCATTTCTTTGGCCTGTGCCAGTGCCATTCGTGCCTCTGTCTGCAATCTAGCCTGTCTGGCGAAGAAGTCGGCCTCGTCGATCGGAGCCGAATTCGAGCCGGTGTCCAGCCTCAATGGTGGAAGACTGAGCACCTGAGGTCTGGCTGGCATTTGCTGTTTCTGCTGTTGCTTCGAGTTCATCGAGGTCGGCGTGGATTCCGGAGATGCATCGTTCTCCGAACACGGCGATTCCGTGTCCGAGGGTGTTTCATTCATGAAGCAGATCTGGAGATTCATTCCTGAAAAAAGGAACAGGATGGACATAAGGAACATAGCCATAGTTTGGATAATTCGGTTTAGTTTTCCAACTGGAATTTATCGTCGCTGGTAATTACTTTAATGGACGAAAATTGAATCGAGGCAGTAAGCTGTTGTACAACAGGTCTCTTGCTTTCTAATCGAATTAACCCTTTCGGTATGGAGGAGCTGGACGCGGTTATACATTCGTGGTATTCGTTTTATTATCGAACTAAATAACAGCGAAGGAAATTTATTTTGTACACATATCTCGTAATCAATCGTCTATGCGAAACCGAATATCTATGCTTCTCCTTTTACCGTCACTGTCCATTTGCTTATTCTTGACTCGGTGATCGACCGAATGCAACAGATGAAGTTTCTTTACAATTTATCGCCGTTCTACTGCACTTACTACCCGATTACTTTATCGTACAACCTATCATTTAAGTTTAGGGAATATAGAAGAGAAGTAGAACGCGTGGATGAAGGAAAACAGCCGAATGTGACACTAACGTGAATACTAAGTTGATAGTAATCGACGAACCTCCGTTACGCGTGTGCCCCAAAATGGCAAAGCAGGTTTCCCAAAAAAGAGAAAGAGGGGAAAAAATTCTTGCAAACTTATCTCGAACAAATCAGCGAAGCCGAAGGAAAACAGGCAAAGTTCGAGCACGAACCTCGAATCATCACTGCTCACTTAAGCTATTTAATAACCAAAAGCTCTGCGTTGCATTGCATAACAGTTTGCAATCGTTCGAAACGGTTCACAGCATCGAAACAAACAATCCTCGTGGCTCGCGAAAATCATTCTGTTTCTATAGACAAGTTCTTCACTAACTTCCTTCGTTATATCCTCATATATCTCACGATATCCGCGACAAACTTCGACAAACCAAGCCACGACCCGATAATTATACCATCCCGTTCAAAGGTCCACAACTTTGCCGTTCCACGACGTATTTATCAACGAATCGGTATTCTTCTCCGTATCGGCAGATACGTTTCCATTTCCGAAAGTAAAATTTCGCCTGTCCACGAGTAAGGTACGCGTAGTGCAAAGTGTTGGAGTGATACGGACCGCTTTGAAGCCGCGACTGGAGGCTCGGCTTTCTTCCGCGTTCAGCGCGCAAGTCTTCGGCGTCTGGACCCATCGCCAACCTCCTCCGGATCTCTTCACGGTCGTTTCGCCGCTGTGGACAGACAGAGAAAACCGGGGTGTGATTACTCGTTACACGCTAGCGAGGGTAAGAAACCCCCTCGATGCTTTAATCCCCCCAAGTTCCGCGCCTCTCCTCCATTCTTGTTCCAGCTGTATCGGAATCGCAGCCGCGTGGGAGTGAAACCATTAATGAGATTGACAACATCTTCCTAACGTCGTGTCTGCATAATGTGTCACGAGTCAGGAGGAGACTGTTGTCAATGGATTTCGCGTTAATTTAATGACGCGAGAAATTCCTCATTTACCCCGTTGCGCTTTTTCTCACTTGGCCCTTGTTCGCTGATGCGAGCTGAGCAAAAGTGTTTGTTAATTGAACCGGAACGTTACGGATTTTTGGGTAGAACTGTTACCTCGATGTAAATGTAACTCGTTGGTTGTTTGATTATGAATACGGAGAATGGATAATATTTCAACGTTAAATCGACGAATTGGTGTTGGAATAAATGTAACGTGGAGAGAGATAGCTGTCAAGTTGATTATAGGCAAATGTAAAATTTTTACTGGAAGGTTTAGAAACTGTGATTTTTGGTTCAACGTTGATTACAATTTAGCCGCACATCTCGTAAAGCAAAGAATATAGAAAAACTCGCGAATTATTACCCTGTTCGTTAACTTTTGTCAATAAGCGAATGCTAGCCGAAAGTACAGATCTTGGCAAGGGTTCGAAACTGAAAAAATATTTCGGAACTTTACCCTGGCAAGAAATCGAAACTAAATCGTGACCCTGTATTCTGGCAAAGCTCGGAAACTAGACCGTTCCCTTTGGCAAGATTTCGAAACTCGTAACTCAACTTGGTGTTCAGATTGGTAAAAAAATGACATAGTTCCAGTATTCAAAGTGATTTACGCGCCTAGTTTATTGTCGTATCTTTTATCGGTTATTTGGAAAGAAATTTCGGATTCGATTTAGAGAGGAAGAATCGGGGAGAATGGTGGATTTGGTAGGGTCGCCGGAAGTCACACCTGCAAAGTTTCATCCGGATCTCCCCGCACCACTCTATCGAATCGCGTGACGAGATCTTCCCTTTCAGGGTCCTTCGTTTCGTTTGACTTGTGCTGCGATGAAATCGTTCCTTCTGACTTTGCTTGTTCCTTGTCGGTCTCTTTATCGTCATCCTGATGCCCCAGAAATGAAAGCCAGTTCGGTAATCGATACGCTCGATTACAGGCTATTGATAAAAGTGACTTTCAGTCGATTGGCGAATGGCGACAGGCATTCGTATGCGAAACGAAACGATGAACTTATAATGCCAATCCCTGACGCGTCTTCAATTTCTTCGTCCCATTCTTTTTCGATACTTGGTAATTTTGTTCTCGTATGAAATAAATATGTCGGAAAATATTTCAATTTAGATAAAAATCGGAATATCGTGTAGGACAATTGCATCTTTTCTTCTTTATGCTATTAAAATACCGTATATTAATATAAAATATAATAAAGTATTGGAATCGTATATGAAATTTTTGTAGGAGTTTAGAAGAGTGTTTCATCCAGAAGATCTAAATTAGAAAAGAATCGTAGACCTTGTAATTTTAACAAGGAGCTTTAGGCTTTAATTTGAACAATTTGAACAATTTTAATTCATCGATATAATCTATTAATTATTAATTCCTTCGTCTACGTGACACAAAGGGTTATCAAACGACGAGGATAAATAATGCGAGCCTCTATGATAGTTTTCTTATCTCACTGGAATTTTCTAGACAAATTTTTCTAAGGAACATTTCACGCATCGTAGGAATTTCGTTCTTTTCTGCTAGTCTCGAACGACACGTGTCTAAAGCTCGATTTATCAAGCTTTCGATATTCCCACACATCAGATGGTACATGTCGTCAATAAATTCGGATTAACCGAGGAGGTCGGTTGGAAAGAGCTCGTCGGACCGCGAAGGTTAAGTTCGGGATATTAAAGGTGTATCTATGCGAAATGTTCTATTAAGAGACGATATTTTGATGAATCACGAAGGATTTTCTAGATCCTGCTAATTCGCGACTAGACCAGCGAGTACGAAACAAATCCGTCGCGAATCGCGTTAATTGATGGCTGCAGCGGAGAAAACGTTTCGAAATTCTTCGTTTCAGCCTTGCTTTCCATCGAGTTGCACAAGTCCCAATGGCAAAAAGTGGAATACTTTATTTTCCTTTCATTAACTGACGCGTGAATGTCAAAATCAGTTTCTTAGCACCTGGTCACTTCGACCCACTTTCCTCGTTTCCAATCGGATCTTTTGGGTCATAGTAACCTCTCTTGGAACAGTAAGTGCAGAAACGATTTATCGGGACAGAGTTAGCGAAACAATGCTCTCATTGTCGATACCCTGTCGCCGAAGGAAGTCCTTTCTTCCTATTTTCTAATTGTTCAATCGAGGAGGAATTTTTATCGAAGACCTTTGATTCGTAGGAATGTTTATCGAAGACCAATTATTTCTTTAGACGACTCGCGATTTCGTGATATTTATTTAACCCTTTGACTACTGTGGGTATAGAAATCTTGCGCTTGTGATACTGTATGTCAAAAGTATGTTTTGCTGTTAAATTTTAAGTATATACAGTAACAACTTAATGCAGAATACAAGGAAATATTATTTTAATATAGTGAAATATAGTGCTTCGATTATTATTTGAATATACATTAATTTCTCAAAAATATACACCCAATGTAAAATTTTAACGTTCTAGGTGTACATTACAAATAGATCCTACCGTATGGCATGGCTGGTGCGTTTCAAAGTCCACCGTAGTCAAAGGGTTAAAAATTGACTTACTCTAAATTGACTAGTTTTTAGAAAGTTGTAAAATCGTTGAAAATGAAAATATATTTAAAGACCGATTCTGTTAAAGATATTTCGAGATGTATAAAGCATACGAGAACAAAATGTAGAGCAACTTTCTCAGCAATCTTTCGTGAAAACACCGTTTTCGTATAAACACCGATATGATTCTTAGAAGGAGAGTGCAAGCCCTTTGGGTGATTGATTTAGTTGACATTTTGCAGGTTTGTCGATTTAGTCATCCGGTTCGAGAAAATTTACCATTATAAGGGCAAATACTCCATAGTTTTGAGATATTTATGATTAAAGCTTTATTATTCCTAACTAGAGATTTCTTCCAAATAGTTATCGATAGTTATCAAGTGGCATTGTGGCCTGACAGCAAGGGATATATTAGGTCACAACGACGCTTGATAAATATTCGAAATAAATTTGCAATTAAGGCAATAATAACACTCTAATCATAAATATCTCGAAAACTATCGAGTAGTTGTCGTTATAATGATATATTTTCTTCAATTGGATGACTAAATATATAAACCTGCAAAATTTCAACTAAATCTATAACCCGAAGGACTTGCATTCTCCTTGTTTGTGAATTTTTATTTCGATTTTTGATACAACGTTATCAGCGTAATTGGAAAACGGAAGATACCCTGTCGCCATTCGACTCGCGCAAGAGGTCTGATCTTACGAGATCGAAGTCATCGTATGTGAACGTGTAGAGATCCGTGACGAATCGGGAATCCTTTTTATAGTGTTTCCTCGTCTTGTTGCTGCTACCCATGTTTCCAGGATTTGCTCCAGTTCTTTCGCGTTTTACTGTCTTCGGTTTATCCACGACGATCGTTTATGTCCACAGAACGGCACACACTTTCCCTTCGCCTGGTTCTTCACGGTCTCTTCTCCGCGTGTCATCGAACGCGACACGACGCGGCGAGGAACTTTGTCGCGGGAGCGGAAATCTATTGGCAACGACCGAGAGAAGACGTCGACGGGCACGAGATGATCGTTAAAGCAACGTTAAAGGAATCGCCGGACGTTTCTTCGTGCATCATGGGAGCTTTTAACGAGTTTTAAATCACACAGGCCACGCGATGCGCTTTTCTTCTTTCGCCTGCACCGAGAAGAAAGTTATTCGAGCAACTCGAGATCGAGAGGTTTCATCGAATGATTTCTTCTCCGCGATACGTGGCGCGGGAATAAAAATCCAGTTTTCGCGTATGGCCACCCACTTTCTTTCTCGTGTAACACCGTGCTAAAGCTTTCTCTTGCTTCGTTTCCTATCGCGTCCAGGAAACGGCCAATTTAGGAACAGGTGTCTCCCTGTTCTAGCCAGCGAGATTCTTCGCTGCAACTCGATATTTCATCGCGTCGGATGACTAACATTTCCCTCGACTCGTTCGAAAACCCGGATTGCAGGAAAAATCTCGATTATGCAACGATAAGGTTACTCATCGCAGCTGCGAGCTAAGAACGCGTTTTCCTTATCTAAGCCCGATTTCGTGCAGCATGTACAGGGTGTCAAAATGTACGGCGAAATGAAATATAAATTTGGTATAATTTAATTTTATATTATATTGCGAGTCAAGTACGTGTTAATTAGAGAAATTTATAGAACGACGATCACTGATAGCAACGGGAAATCAAAGAAAAGTACGAAACTTTGTTTCCCTTGCTCGAGCAGCATCGTTCATGGATATAAATTATTCGTCGACATACGTATGTTTCCAATTATTTTGCTCCACATTGTTCGACACACGTACATTCCCCCTCCCCTGATTCTTGTTATTCAACTTCTCGTTATCTGCTGCAAACAAGGCAAATTAAGTTCACGGAGTATTCTTGCAATGTACGACGAGGCACGTTGTTTAAATATTTTATAAACGTTTAAGATTTTCTGAGCATCCTGTATATGTTCCCATAAAAGACAAACAAAATCCTCTTTTCAAATGGAATTGAGTTATCTCGCTCTCAGTTGCCTCGTTATTCGTCTTTCCAAAAAAGAATTCACAATTCAAGCGTATAATAAACTATAAAATAATTCTAAACTAACACCGTTCGTGCTCCATAAATTCTTAAAGTCTTAGACTTCTGTCTGAACACCCTGTACATACTCTTAAAAGTTCCAAAAAAAAACCATTCGTTTAGATTTCTAAATATATTGTAATGCCGTTTCACTGTTCGTTCCGCGAGCAA